GATTTGGCCATTTAATCGAAAAAATAATCAACAGATTAATCGATTATTAAAATAATCGTTAGTTGCAGCCCTACAGTATTTTCAATTCAAAATATCTTCAAACTAATAAAATATAAACTTATTAGTGAAGAAAATCAGTCTGGATAACAGCAGACTGACTGTATGCAAAATATACGAGAAGTCTGGAACATGTGAATTTTGTTCGTATATGAAAAAAAAATCTTACAAGAAAATTGTTGAATGCAATAATTCAAATTCAATTCAAAATAATTTATTGATCCCAGAGGGAAGTTAGATGATGTTGTAACTCATTTAACTATAGAGCTATTGTAGATGGTGATGGCTGTGGGCAGCAAAGATCTTCTGTAGCGGTCTGTACTACAACTAGTGCTGGGCGGTAAGACCTCAAATTCATATCACGGTATAAAATGAATCCCTTCACGGTAACGGTATGTATCGTGGTAAAAAATTATCATGAAAAGCAAAGATAATGTAATTTTAGAGCATTTACTTTGCAGAAAACTGTCATCATAATCAAACCCAGTATTTTTGCTGTAGTGCAAATGAACATAACAGAGGTAAAAAATAATGTTTTATATACATTGCAAAACAGCTTCAACAACAAACAAAAACATTTCTCAAATTTTCAATAATATCAAAATAAAGTGGATGTTATAACCAGTACTTCAAGTAAAATTAGTCATTTAGACATAAAACATTCTAACTTGGCATAAGTTGCCTAAAATGTTATAGTGTGACAGGACCTTAAGGGGCTTAAGATGCATATAGTCCTGTCATAAAACAATTTCAGATAACTAGAATGTAAGTGTGGTGAAGCCAAATAAATGTAATATCTGCCTGCCATAAATTGAGCTTCTATCTGTTGAACTGACCTYCTGCTGCTCTGCTATGCTCTCATCTTCATCATCAGAGCAGAGCCAACTGTTACATTAGCAAGATGGATTTAAGACTGAATGAACGTCCACATCTTTTTTAATCATCTCTGTGGGTAAAAATACAAAAAAAACAAGTTTTTTTCTCCAAGGACTTGGGTATTGAAAAACTACGGTTGTTAAAGTGTCGCTCCGCGCAACGTGCAGCGAGAGGGAGGAGGAAGTGATCCCATGTCCTGCGACAAGACGTAACTTTTCTACAGTGGGAGGGGGAATTTTGAGGATTTTTTTCTCTCTATAAGTGTTTTAAAACACTATTTCTTCATTATATTTGAACTTCTGCTCAGTTGTCTCTGCACTCGTAGCCCTGGTGACACAGATGCGATGATGTAACTGACGACTTAGGCCTGTTGCGATAGTCAATAAATCAATTAATTGCATGATAATGAAGAAATTTATAGTTATTAGAGTTTAGTACTGATGTTCAAAGCACAACACTATATTTTTAGGTTTTCCTTTTTATAATGTTTAATCTATGTGTTGATTGATATTGATTAGTTACATGTCCGAATAATATAACAACACATATTTAACCGTTATGAGAACAGTAGGTGAGAATTTTGTATGAATGCCTGTGATTCAGCCGTAGGTCAGTAGGGGGCGAACGCAGGCATTGAAGACTCTGTATAAATGGATCAACGTAGAGAGAGAGGGAGAGGGAGAGAGAGAGAGAGAGAGAGAGAGAGAGAGAGAGAGAGAGAGAGAGAGAGAGAGAGAGAGAGAGAG